CAATTACTGTGCTTTGGAATAAACCGGAGGAGGGAAGGTCCTGGGAAGCATATGGTAGCACTTGGGTCCACATTATGAAAAGGCTATCCCAAAAATGGACTCTTATGCGGTTCGCTCACGCTGGTGATGTCTGATCCGTCCTGTCGCATATCATCATTTGACATAAACCTACACACTCCGATGGCCATCTAACAAATAGAGCTGCTGATCTTACTCATAATTGTTGCAGGTCCTTGACGTTGTTGATAAGATTGGGGATGAGACGAGCACAAAGTATGGGAAGAAGGCGAAGAACTCAAAATTAATTGAATACTAGATCTCGATGGGATTCGTGCAGTGTTCTAGTCACATTGTGTGGTTAGTTTAGAAATGCTCACTACTTCGAAAATGATTTTATGCCTTGTGTTCTCGTAATCTTCTAGGGAATAAGATTGTTTTAACTTTTCCATGACAATGTACTTAACAAAGTATTCCTATTCCCTGTTCGTGTGTGTGCAGAGTTGCCATATTTCTCCCAAGTTGTTACATTAATTGTTTCTTGTTAGCGATTTTCTCGAGCACTAGCTTATTGAGGTCGTGAAATGTTCGTTCTTTCGTTATGTCCTTGTTCAGTTACTCTGTGATCACGCCATATCCATGCCCTCGTTTTTCGTGACATTCAGGCCAAATTTGTGTTGTTTTATAGCTAGAATTCATTGTTATTAGTAGTGATTCAGAGAATGGATAATAAACGTTGTAACAGAAAGGGAGACTCATGTTATTGGGTAAATGGGACCCAACGGTACCGTGACCCAGATAAACGCCTCAGGGGTTACAGCAGAGTCAACCCTGCGTTGCGCAGTTCTCAACGGCCACGTTGCGCAGTTTCGCCCGATTAGACACGTTCTCTCGCGCGAACATTCACACTCGCATGCTCGAGCCGTCTGCGTCTCCGCCCATACAGCGTGCGTTGAGGATCTCTCAACGTGCCGTTGCGAACTGCGCAACGCAGGGTTGACTCTGGTTCAGTCGCGCTTGATATGTTATACGAGTTTTACAAAAAATGCCAGTGATTCAGCTTAGAGGTTCTGGGATAGATGCCGAGATTCAGCGTGTTTTTGTTATTTTCCAGAAGAAACGTGAATTGCCTATTCCAGTGTGAAGGGATGTTGATTGTTTCTCTGTATGGAACAACAGTGAAAAGTGCCTGTCTAGTGACATGATAGTTTTCTACGCAACGATATGACTGAGGTGGGTTTATTACCATAATTAGAGAAGGGCATGACGGGGGGAAGCACCACGCTTTTAAAACCACAGCAAGCGTTGCTTTTATTTCAAAAGTCTAGGTTCACCAACACCTTGGCGAGAAAGGGAAGTGGGAGAGAGGAGAGAGGGAAAGAAAGAGAGGCTCCGGGGCGAATGAGCAATTTTCATTATGCTCGGAGTTTCTTTCCCTCCTAGGCTTAATTTACGCTAAGGGAATATCACTTTTGATCAATCATATTATCTAGCACAAGAACACATAAATGATACAAAACAAAGCTTGCGAAATTGCTTGGATATGTGCAGTTTGCAATTCGTAGGGCTCCTTGAGCAAAATTGTGATTGGGACAGTTTATGCATCGCAACATCCCCCACCCCCTGCTTCATGGATAATCGGAACAAACCCCATTTGTGGGTTGTAATGAATTGCTTTTATCATTTATCAGCTCCCAGCTGTCACTACAAACTGTCACTTATTAGCTTTCTTGAAGGCCATCGTCACTTGTGTTGCTTGATCTGCATTGACAGATGCACCCGGGTAGTGGATACAATATTGTAAATGAGCTTCACTCAACTACTTTCACTGGATAGAACTTACGACGAATGTTATCTCTCCCAAGGAAGGTCGCTCTTGCAGACGAAAGGGTTCGTGAGAATGTCACTGGCCCCGGCTTGAATCTTTGTGAGGAAAGGAGACTCGGCTAAGCAAAGAGCGAGTTTACTGTAACTCACAAATTCGACATACGCTACAAATTCTAAGAATTCTGTGGGATCTACATCGCCGGGTACGTTTACGGGGCAAGTTATCGTGTTCTACCGTCCTTCGATCCTAAGCTGTCTGGGTGAGTGGAACCATTCTCATGAGAAAATTGAATTTCTGACCCGCGCGCTATCTTGCGCAGCAATTGTGGAGGCTGGCTGTGGCCAGTAGAAGGGTGCTCCTGTGATAAAGCCTCCTCTAGAAGCTTGAAGAACCTTTTCAGAGTTTTCATGGAGTGTTGGAATTGTCCCTTTTTCTTCCCCTCTATTTACAAAAGCGGAAAAACGAGAACAAGTCATTATAGATTTGGAAACATCCATTTCGAAGCATCAGTAAAAATGTCA